TGGGAATGGTTTCTTTTTTCTTTTCTGCTTGCGACTCGTTTAAAGAAACTCTGAACTCGACCTCGAGTCCAACCTCGTTCCCAGGGTTCTCTCCTAACCGTCCCTACCTAAGTGAGAAAGAGAGTCCCTGGTTGGGTCTAATCCAGAAGCTGGAGATTACAAATAAACGACTTAGAGGAAGGGCAGATTAGTGCGAGATTTGTCTCTATTGAACGTAACCAGGTTGGTTGAAAGTGTGGCTATGAAATGAATCAGTCTCAAAGGTCATTTTTTATACAGTTCATGGGAACAAGTTAAACCAAAATCTCGCTGAAAATAATGTACGGAATCCTCTCCTCTCGCTCCATACGGACGAGAAAAAGAAACCCTGGGAACGAGGTTGGACGGAGTCACTGAATTAGGGCGATGCGAAAGAAGAAAATGAAAACATCCTCATTTAACATTGCAATTCCTGTGAGCTTATAATGACACTGCTTAGTACGACTCCGATTATCGATTGACTTTGGGTCAGAAGGAGCTCCTATCACCCCGACTACCATTCTGACTACGTTGCTACAAAAAACTAGGGTCTAGACTTTCAACACGTTTTATCATGTCCCTTATTTGAAGCTCGGGATTCAGGATTTTAAAGCAAAATCGGGCAAGATTTGGGATTGAAAGCATGTGTGCGAGTTAGAATATCCAAAATAACCGGGGATGACGGGATTACGGGATTGAAGAACCCTATTAGGGACCCTCATGTCAAGAAGAGAGAATCTTGGCTTAAAAACTTTGTTCTCGGTTTAACTGCGAAATTCAACCCAACACGGCTACCAATATCTAAAGACAAACTTATGGAAGAAGATGCTTAAAAAGAAATATATCTTGACGTCGACTGCAGAAATATGCAAGTCATACAGTTTTATTTGCATTGTTCCCATGATTTAATTTTGTCGTGTGATAATCCTAATCTTCTCTTCACAACCTCTGGGGGGGCTAGTGGTATCGGGAACAAGACTTTAGTAAACAGCCCCAACTGTATACCTTATAAGAGCCTCTAAGTTCTTCAAAAGCTTCGATAAATATGTACGTACCTTTGTTAGTAATGTAACAGTATTCACCTTGTTTAAATGTATGACTGTAAGAGAAAATGACGGTGAATTAAGACTTCAATGGAAAATAAATACAAGAAATTTACCTTGAACAGTCAATGTGGATGATGAGGGCACGACTCCAAGAATATTTTTTGCCCTACACGTGTACACTGCTCCATCTTGTGACGTCACATCTCTTATCATAAGGCCACCACGTGATTGCATGATTCGTCTGTCGGCGGGAAGACGCGAATTTTCTTTCAGCCACGTGACCTGGGGCACTGGATTTCCCTTAACCTCACACTGCAGTGAGGCTATACCAGTTTCGTTCACCACCATGGACATCGGAGGTGACACAATCGATGGAGCTGAGATGGATTCACCAGGATCACCCTTGGGTCCTTGAGGGCCTTGATCGCCTCTAAGTCCAGGAGGCCCCTGATCTCCTTGAGGACCTCTCGGTCCATGTGGTCCCTGGGGCCCAGCTGGACCATGTTTGCCTGGGGGACCTGGCCTTCCTCGTCTTCCCCTGACTCCCTTGGGACAATGTGCCATGCAGGCGAAGTTACTCATCGCCAGTTTAACTTCCTTCTTTATGTCCTCCCTACTAATGATCTCACTGACGTTTGATTTCTTGTTTACATTATTGGCGTTGCGTTTGTGACGAATTTGTATTTCTGCAACTGAGGGATAATTTATGTCACTCTTATGATCTCCCAGTGAAAGAATGTTTTGGTCGATTCAATTACCCCCTTGTAACAAACTAAATTTTGCAGTAACATAATGGCTTACAACACTGGTTCAAGACAAACTTTATCTATTTTGGACTGCATGCCATATATTTTCATGGACTAAAAAGAAAAGAAAAGAACATTCTTATCGGCAAATACTGAAATTGAATCGCCATATCATACGCTTTGTCACGGCGTTAGGTTTCAGCCCTTCAGAAGAGAAAGGGGAATCTTCTCGACCTGTACCAAACTAGCTGAAACCGAAACGCCAGAATGTCGGTTCTGATCAGTATTATTTACAATTAAAAAAATTAGTTCTTTTTAGAGTCAAAAAAATTACGGCTTAGTTTCGGAATCTAACTATTGAGGGCGTTGTTGCGGAATGCTTAAAGTTTTGACAAAAAGGTCCATTGTGAAGCAACAGTTCGATTTCTAAGCCTACGAGAATCGAACTAGTAAACCAAAGCACTCACCTTTACCAGTGTCACTACACAGCGCGGAGGCAATCGATCTATCGTTCACAGTGCCTCGTGAGTGGATACTTTCTTCTCTCTGTTGAGTCAAGACTTGAAGCATTTTCCGATGTGCGTGAAGCTCGATCTCGACGTGAATCAATGCCAAGAAACAGGCAGCAAAAGATAAAACTATCGACGAAAACACTAGAGGGTTGTTGATCGGTCGCTTCTTCGTTTCCATTTCAACAACACAGTCAATTGTAGTTATCAGGGGTCTTAAAGCCAGTCAAAACTTGTAGCCAAACAGTTGAACTGAAACTAACTCTTGAACGCAGTTACGGCTGTTGTAGTTTAAAAGGATGTTTTTGCAGACGAGTCGTGCCTGGGGCCCTCAATCTGACCCTGTTTCCGCCTTTTAATACTGGCTGTCTTCCAAGTGACTGAGGAGGCCTTTTGTGTAAACAAGCTCAACCTTTTTATCCAGTGAGGATATTCACTAATACTCATACGATATCTAAACCTATATCACTGAACCTAAACTTTTTTTTTATTCATTTGTCAGTGTTGTAACTCAGAATCGAGTTTGCTGGGTCAGGTATTAGACCGCTCTGGGTATAGAGAGTACTAAAGTAAGGCATCTAGGATAGTCTTGCTTTCGTGGCAGGCATTCGAAAGAAAAGGTGGAAGGAAATTTCACGCAGGCAAAGATAGTGTCAACCAACGCCCTACCGCGCCGGCCGTAAAACAACATCACGGAGATGAAATCAAGCAGGCATGAGCATGCAATTGATGAAAGGGCTGTTAAGCGAACTAAATAGTCTACCGTTGGACTGTTAACCAGCTACTACACTCCTAACATCCCTGAATATCATCTTGAAAATATCCCTTCCTTAAAAAGACTATAAAGTAAAGTCTGAAACAAACTAAAACGATAGATTGATAGAAACAGAGCAAAAATCTGATAAACAACGAACATTATTTAACGGAACACATGTTGAGTATTCGTTAATCTTACCCCATTTTCACTTTACATCAAACGTGTCCATAATTTGTTAAGATGGGCCCACGAAAAAGAAGAAGCAAAGTAAATAAGTAAGTAAGTAAATTAATTAATTAATTAATTAATTAATTAATTAAAATATAACCAGGGAAGAGAGGGGATGCGCTCACTCAGGCATAATCGGGAATGGAGGGTAGGGTGGGGACGTTTTCTATTCTTTCACTATAAAGCGGTAAGTTTTCCCCTTGGCTTTTAAAAGTTTCAAAATTTCGTTTAGTTTAGTTCAGTTTAGTTCATTTATCTGCCAGGAAAAATTAAGACATTCAACACATTGCACGCATAAAAAAATAATAGTTTAAGGTCTAAGGTGATCTAAATTACATTGGTTAAAGTATTATAAGTATTTTTCTGGCGGGGATGCTCAAATTTAAATCGAAGAGGCTTGTTACTATCAGCTCCCTCTCTTGATTAAGACTATATATAATAAACGACAGACGAAATTATGTTGAAATATAAATATTTATTATATAGACACGAGTGTTTTACTGGAAAATATACCACTCGTAAAATTCATGAAAACTACATCCGGGACCCGAGTGGTTTATTTTCCATAATCTCACACGTGAGTTTATCGATGATTTCATTGATATCAAGTTTGTCTCTTAAATTGTACTTGAATTCGTTGGTGTATCATCGAAACATCTTCGGAAATCTTCGGAAATCTTCGGGCATTTTCGGAAATTCTCGGAAAATGTTCGGGAACGTTCGCCTGGCCTTCGAACAATTTTGGAAAATCTTCGGAGATCTTCGGAAGGTGGTCGAAAGTCTTCGGAAAATCATCAAAAACGCCGTCATCAGCATGTCTATATAATAAAAAGAACATTACACGGCGGCTTGAAGATATGAATTTTATTTTCGAGTGGCAAAACAATATTTTACGAACGAGCGCAGCGAGTGAGTAAAATATTGTTTTTGCCACGAGAAAATAAAATTCATATCTTCGCGCCACCGTCTAATATCCTCTATATAACTTAGAATAAAAAGCAAAGTAAAACACACTAAAAGGACAAAAAGCAGCAAAAGCAACAAACAACAAACAAAACAAATAAAATCTACATGTGGAGAATCAGCTAACGAGAAATGCTTTCAATCTAGATTTTAAAAGAGAGGTAGACGTAGCACTGTGTATATTGCGATTTAGTGTATTGGAATCCTGAAATCTTACACCAAAATAAATACAGCTGACCTTCATTATTTTATTACTGGGAACGGCTTGGAAACTACATTTTCGAGGACTTTTTCGGACTTTTATCATTTAGGGCATGAGTTTTGCGTCATTTCAGGCCAATTTCATGCCCGGCATGCCGGGCATGCCAAAACCAATGCAACTGGCTTCACGATCGGCATGCACAGCATGCCATACCCAATGCAACTGGCTTCACGATCGACATGCCCGGCATGCCAAACCCGGTGCAACTGGCTTCACGATCGACATGCCCGGCATTCCAAACCCAATGCAACTGGCTTCGCGATCGATATGCCCAGCATCCAAAACCCAATGCAACGGGCTTCACGATCGACATGCCCGGCATGCCAAACCCGGTGCAACTGGCTTCACGATCGACATGCCCGGCATGCCAAAACCAATGCAACTGGCTTCACGATCGATATGCCCAGCATCCAAAACCCAATGCAACTGGCTTCACGATCGGCATGACCGGCATGCCAAACCCAATGCAACTGGCTTCACGATCTACATGCCCGGCATGCCAAACCCAATGCAACTGGCTTCACGATCGACATGCCCGGCATGCCAAACCCAATGCAACTAGCTTCACGATCGGCATGCCCGGCATGCCAAACCCAATGCAACTGGCTTCACGATCGGCATGCCCGGCATGCCAAACCCAATGCAACTAGCTTCACGATCGGCATGCCCGGCATGCCAAACCCAATGCAACTGGCTTCACGATCGGCATGCCCGGCATGCCAAACCGGAAGAGCAGATCGGCGTGTTACCAGTAACGATCCCAGAAACAACTGCGGGACACTTTTCGGGTCCAGTCCCCTTCTCGTTACTAAAGTGGCGAATGGTAAAGCATATTTGCCCGAAATTTCGGTTTGCAACACAAACCTTCGATGGAGGCTAAAATTGAAAAATGAATACAGATAATAACTTTACATATGCGAAATTTAAATATATAGCAAGCAGAAAATAATCGTCTAATCAAAAAGAAAAATGTCACTTATTTATACCAGCTTAGGAGCCCATAACCCGGAGAGAGCAGTCGAGAGCGAGGGTAGATTTTATCTTGTTCGCCCCCCTAAAATTTGCTTATTTACTCGAATAAGCATCACCTAAGATTAAGCTTCACCCTTGCATAAGCCCCGCATTTGGGACAAGAAAGGTTAATAAGCGCCGCGGCAACGACGTCAATTCTGTTAGTCTTATACGGAAATCCGGTCAAACCCCGTTGATAGGGCCCTTCAGGGAACCTGAGAAAGTGTCCGTGTTAAGTGGGTTGAATTTAGATAATATATAGATTTAGCCACAGCTAAAAGCGAAGCTCCCATTGATAAATTTATAACTTAAATCAAACAATAATTTTGTATTCCACAAATCAGTTAACTTAAGGGCACATTCATGTGACTTTTGAGGGAAAAGCTAAGTGATTTTGGAGTGAAACAAATCTTGTATCGAGTTGATATAGCCTTATATGTACACCCAAAAAATAGTCTTCGGTCACATTTAAGAGCAATAATGGCTCTTGATCACAGTAGATAAGGCGTGGAAAACAAATTCTTGGAAAACAAATCAGGTCGAATTTTTTGCGTTCGACAAGTTTACAAATTCTTGCCAATAAATCTGGGTGCGTGCAAACCAATCTTTTATTTATTTATTTTTTTTATACACCACATCTGAGGAGAAAGAGTACCACGAGGCGCTGTTTTTATCATACAGACCTCGTACAAAATGCAGTATTTCACAATTTTTCAAGACAAATTGAATTCATTCAATATTCAGGACCATCGAAGCAAGCGTGGACTTTTAATTAGCGAAACCGTTCAAAAAATTTCCAAAATCATCTATACGGCCAGTCGGTCCTAACTTTTGACAAGCGCCAAATTTGCGAAGAAATTTTAAAAGAGTTACGCTTCAACGTGATAAAGAATTTATTGAGTCTATTTTTTATTAATGGTTTTATAACGATGTGTAATCTTAAAAAGCGTTTGATACGCTCGGCATTTTGAGTACTCCTGCAAGCGATGTTTTTGAACGGCTGAAAACAAACGGAAAAGCGATGAAAATTACACTTTTGAGACTACCAACAATCAATAAAGAAATACAATTCGGTAGAACATTTACAGAGACAACAATTTTCATTCATGAAAACAAATGAGTATTTAAGTGTCTCTAAGAATCCTCAGGTCTTTACTAAGATTAAAGATGAAGTTTATGTTTTAAGCCGCCGGTTTCCCGGTGTTTGCTGTTTTCAAAGATGAACTCATGACAAGAAAGTCGCTCCAAGCTTTCTTTCTACAGCCAAAATTATAACTAAGTATTCTTCGGAAAGTCTTTTCTTTCTATTTACGGTGAATCAATATCGACTAAAGGCTTTTTTAAAGTTCTGTAAGCTTAAGCTTATATCAAACCTCATACTAGGTCAGATCAGTGTCTCAGTCAAATCTTAATACAAACGAGCATAAACTAGCTTCATAAACTGCGCCGCTGGACTTCATGAAATTATATTTAAATACAATAATTACTCAGGCTTACCATAATTCGAGATGCAGCTCCTGAAAGCTATCAAGTAAGGCAAGGATCGCTTGTGCCTTTATAATTCTCGTACGCATCCAGCAAGGTGAAAAAAAAAACGATGCCATTCGAAATCGGATTAGCGGCTTTGACAAGCGACGCATTTCTCGACCAAAAACCCAACAAACAAACCAGCCATGAATAAGAGAACACTCTTGATAGCAGCTGTATTTCATTTTGTACATCCAGTGAAAAAGACAGTTAAAAACATCACAAGTTGACTCAAACTCTGTCAGCTTCAGCTGTCAAAGTAAACAACTTTCAAGATGCTGCATAAATTTTATGCATGAACTCAAATTTCAAATTTTAACCAATCAGAGCATAAAAATTGGACGTGGAGCGTGATCAACACGTGACCATGGTAAGAAAAGGTCTTCCCCGCCTGTATTTTAAAAAAACTGGCTGAATTTTTGCGTCTGAGGTC